CTTTATTGTAAAATATACATGTTTTTATATGCTCAATAGCAAAAAGGTTGTTAGTCTTATGAATACTTATGTTATTACATTAATGTTGATTCGCAATAAAGACAGTGAATCATATTATCTAAAGATATGGCTAAGTATTGAGATACGCAAAACTATTCACAATGAATTTATTTTGCCAATTCTGCAACTGAAGGTCATAGAGTAATAGTTGTGAGGAAAGTCCTAGAGCCATTGAAGAGTGAATACAGAGCCCTCCCAACAAATCATACGCACTATTACTTAAGATGATCCTTCTTGCTTTTTTATAGATCCCCAACCCCCTATTTGACCTAGCGGGAATGACTTGTGGTCATTTTCTTGTTCCATTCTGGTCGTTCTTTGGTGCAACCTTTATTGGGAAAGCGCTGGTCAAAGTACATCTGCAGCAGTTCACGGTAATCGCGTTAAGCTCAGAACATCATGTTGAGTCTCTGGTCGGTCTTATTGGGTAAGTTCTCAATCGATTCGAAATGTAAATCAGCTATTCGATCACATGAGGCTACGTCCTTTCACATTGCATGTCAAAACTATTTCACGTGCCCCGTGTACTGCAGCTGCTCTGTGTAGCGTTACAGATCGCTTTTTGATGAGACTATCAAGTTTTCCCTCTAAGTTATGCTGTTGCCGCTTTATAATAACTACAGTAATACTGATAAGAATAAACCCAAAGCATTTGCAACCTATTAGTTTCAGTGAAGTACCACGTCGGTCTTGAAGGTGTTTCAGTCTAGCGTACACTGCATGCTAGTCAAACACGCGCGGGCATCTCTTAAACCAAACTTTGTGGTTTTGCACCCCGCTCAAAGTAGGTTACTTGAGTGAAAGGTAGACCCAAACTCTGTTTGGGTCTAACCCAATGCCATGATCTTTCCATGGGATTCTAATGAGTTTACTACTGCTTTTTAAGTTAAAGAGAAAGTTATTCCCATTCGTTCGTTTTGTTTTTACAACCATTAACCATGCACTTTCGTGCGCCGGTTTTGGTTGTTGTCTTTTGGTGCCCCTCTTGGATAAAAGAGCAGAATGGAGCTTTGAATTTAGAAAACAAATTCCAGGCGGAAGATGGAGAATTCATATAGAATGGTGTTAGCGGAATAATTAGTAGATGCAGGAGCACCACTGTTTGTGACACCCAGTCATATCACTCAGTGTCTCTAACCATCAGTGACCATCATCCTGAGGTCCCCAGCCAGGGAGCCTAACCGGGCCTATGTGACCTAGTCTCTTGGTTAGGGTTTTCATACCCTCATGCCAGGTCTTCGTTTGACCACCTTTGACCTTTTTCCACCCTCTACCTACCTCAGCAAACATCGCTCGCTGTGGCAACCTATTTGATGACATGTGCATCACATGTCCCAACCAAAGTAATCTATGGAGGTCGACCACTTGCTCCAGTGGGCGACCGCGACTGTGTAAATCTCTACGCCTAACCTCAGCATTGCTCGTCCGGTTACCCCACCAGACTCATGCAATGCGTCGTAGACAGCGGTGTTCGAACTCCGACAATCTATCTTTATCTTGTTCCCGTAGTGGCCAAGTCTCTGCACCGTAGAGCAGTACAGGCTGAACTGCTGCAGCATATACTCGACCCTTCACGAACAGCCGGATGTCGCGACGGCGCCACAAATGTCTCAAGTTGGTAAATGCCAACTGAGCCTTTTGTATACGCACCGACACTTTATCTGCGATGCGTCCGCCAGGTGAGATATAGCTGCCCAGATAGCAAAATTTGTCTGCATCCTCTACTACTTCGCCAGTCAGGGTGAGACTGGGTGCTGGAGCAACCCATTTAGTAAACTCATTTTGATGAGTACTCCAACACGTTAACGAACAACAAACTTAATTAAACCTATAAACGTACATATTTATGTTAATCAAAGGTCGCATATCGGAACAAACACCACATGTTTGGGCAAAGTGAAAATATTGGGGCGAGTTATGAGTTCTCGCTGGATCATCCGCTCTTGCTGGTACCTCTGGATTATACGCGCTTTCTGGAGCTCGCTGCTGTTACCCGTCTACCTCGACATTAGGCCATGTTTTTAACTGTTCACTGAGGAGAAAACTTCAAATTTGTCATTGATTTCTTGTTGAGATTGTGTTGAACATAAAAAATCAACTCAGTCTATGTTGTAGAGGCTCCGGTTCTCGTTGGAACGTTCTATCAATAAAGACCGTTTGATAGCTTGTCATGGCGTTTCATTTCTTTGATCTATGACGGATATCAGTAGTCAACGGTCACTGACTCCCCAACATATTCACCACACCGCGGCTGTTTCCTCAACCGTAGGGAAATTAGCTCTTCTAAAGACGCGGTTTACCCGAAGACTGACTCTTTTGCGAAGGAGAAGCTACAGAGTGGGATGATTGCAGCTCCGGATGCGGATGCAGCTTCCCCGAATTTGCACTGATGTTACCCAGCCTGGCTACGAAACGTTTGCGAGCAATACTCCCAGCTCGGACAGCACACCAACACCTTATCGTCGAATCAGCATTCAGAGTCACAGTGATTAGATTTCCGGGGCTCATCACGGAACGACATCGAAACTGTGGTGTTCAATAGTTCCATTGGTGTTGACGCTATGGCACGTAATACAAAACTCTCTAGCTTATTTTTGTTTGAGTGTTTTCCGACCCACAGTCTGAACTTAGACATATGGGAGTTGAATAGAGCAGAATAACTGCTCAGGACAGTCGTGATACGTAGACTGTTAACAATATTCAAACATGCTGAACACGGAGTGGAGAATTAGTGCAAGCGTGATAGATTTCGCTGTTCAAAGTGTTGATTGCTAATAAGTGTGAGATCGATCCCGGTAACTGCTAGAATGAGAGCGTTATTCCTGAATTCCAAATCAATGAAAAAAGGAAACTTAACCGGATATGTAGACAACTGGTGAGTGTTTGATTTACGGTCAAATTCTCGACCACCGAGTTTCTTTTCCTTGGCCCACCATCTTTGTCTTCCTCGATC